ACACACACACACACACACACACACATATATATATATATATATATATATATATATATATATATATATATATATATATATATATATATATATATATATATACACTGTATATATATGTACTGTCCTCGCATTGCATGTGCTTATGCAAAGCTAGACAGTCAGATAAAGGATAGAATCCATCAAAAAACCACATGGCTTGACTTTTCTTGTCCTGTAATGAAGTCTTCTATTTTCCAACTCAATCCGTAAAACTGTAAATTATACAGAGATAGAAACACAATTTACTTAAACATTGTACAAGCAAGGGATTGTGTTGGTGCCGAACATTACGTTATTCAGTCATATAGAATGAATGACCTGGAAAGAACCACACCTGACAACGTTGTACTTTTTACTTGCTGTGAGGGGGAGCAGAGAGACCAACAGCTTCGCAGAGCTGGCTCACCTAAGTCCCAAAGTGTATGAGGACTGCAGCTCCTTTTATTGAGAAAGTTACATAAGTACTGAGCAGTTGTTGTTTTTTTTTTTTTACGTTTTACTCTTAGGGCAAAGTTCACATGATTCCCATACTTGATGAGAAACAGACCTCATCCTTTGTGGACCACATCGTGAAACCTTTCTAGAAGTACCTACTCCTGTCCTGTAACAAACTTAGATAACAGATTATGGTTTAACACACTTTGATTTAGCACACTTTGGTAACTAACTATACATTTTATTTACAGATTGCATAAGTACTATTCAATTGTCTGCCAATTAACAAAATAAAAAATGTTGAATCTGTTGAAATCTAACAGAGTATATTGTCAGAAAACACAATAAATTCCTTACAGAAATACACAATCATTTGACGATTGGTCACAAATAATACTTACAGATAAATATTCAGCGAGGCAAAAGTGTCAAAAAAACTCCAACAAAGTTATCTCACTAGTCTGTTTAATCTGCAATTGTTCTAATGATGTGTCGTTCGCGAGTGATTCGTTCAAAATGAACGAATCTTTCATATAAGTCGTGACTCCCGAGTCATATGAAAGATTCGTGACTACCGAGTCATATTAAATATTTATTCATATTGAACTCACGAATCACTCACAAATCACTCACTGCGAACTAATCACACTCTGCAAACTAATCTTTCACTGTGAACTAATCTTTCGCCTCGTTCTCGCAGATTCGCTTCACTTGTCACGTGAAAGAGCTCGGGTCTTTTTTGCTCTCATTCATCTTGACATTGTGGTGTGTTTTTATTTCTTAGCTTTTCGCATGGTTTTAATTACTTATGGCATTTTGTGTACTTTGTAGACTTTGTCAGCGGAAGCAAACCATGTTGCCTTATTTAGTGTCGGAGAACCGCAGCATTTTTACAACGCCCACAATAGGGCTAAAGCGCCACTTGCTGGAAAAGGAATGAAATGATTAGTTCAAGAACGTTCACGACTCGTTCATTTTACTGTTCGAGAGTCATTGATTCGAATGACTCTAGAACAGAGAGTCATTCTCTGTTCGAGAAAGAGTCGGTCTTCCCATCACTAATATCATTTGATCGTATGTGAGTATATGAATGGGTATGGAGTAAGAAGGTGGCTGTGAATGTGGGTGTGGCTGTGTCTGGTAATTTCTCCATCAGTCTTGAACACACTAGATTATAACATGAGAAGCAAACACTTGTCATCTCGATATAGAAGAATATAGTCATTATACTTAACCAGAAATAGACTAACGTTAACCTTAGCTTAGCTGAATAGCAACAAATAATGTATAGAAAAATAATGTGAAATTATAATTAAATAAGAACGCAGCTTGAACCTTTGCCGTGACAACATTAATCTCGGCCCTAACACAGTTAAAGGTTAGCATGGGAAAGAATTGATGTCACACACTACAGGTTTGCCTTTGTAACAGAACATGAATAAATAGACACAGCATTTGACAGCAAAATTATACCATCTATAATATTTCCTTATAAATGTACCTCCTGTATATGAATATATGTGTATATGTATATATATATATATACAGTATATGTATATATGTGTTTATATATACTGTATGTATATATATGCATATATGTATATACAGTATATGTATATATGTGTGTATATGTATGCATATATAAGAAACATAAACAAACCATGTTTATATACCTAAGAAATATATTCATGTTTATATTGTGAGTGTGTATACTGTACATAAACAAATAAATAGATACGTACACATGTATAAATACATATTTATAGATAGTATTTAATACACACATTTTTATTTTTTACATATATATAAACACACATACTATATGTATGTACGGCGGCATTGTTATTTAACCTTTTCAAAACTTTTTTGCAGAATAGAAAAAGGATATATTTAAGATGATGAGTGATGCACTGGCTGTAAGAAAATACACATAATCAAAGACATTTAGAACCCTGTGTAATTAGCCGCGTACTTGCTTGTAGCATAGATAGAAGACAATCTTCACCAAGGCTAGGTCAAGCTAACCCTGCTCATACCTTTAATTGAAATGCTTCTCTTACTTATTCCATGAGTGTATCTTTAAAAGAGCAGCTTCAATAGAATTTGACCGGTCATTGATGACGTCATCGTTCCTCATTCTCCTGGCTCTCTCTTCATACGTTCACTTCTTCCCAGCAACTGCTCCCACTGTAGTTGTTATCCTCCTTCTCCTCGATTTCATGTAAGAAAATACACATCATCAAAGACATTTAGAACCCTGTGTAATTAGCTGCGTACTTACTTGTAGCATAGATAGAAGACAGTCTTCACCAAGGCTAGGCCATGTCCTTGTCGACGTAGTAAAAAAACAAAACGTCAGGCAGCGACGAATGAGTGAAAGTTAACAAGGGGTAAATAAGATTAACCATAAGGGTAATAGTATTAATAATGGTGGTTAAATGCACGGATGTCAGTGATACTGTGTCGTTACTGACGACGTTTCCTCTGTCTCCTCCCTCCAGATCCCCCCGTGGACTGGTCTCTATGTTGCCACAGCTCCTACCTGTTAGTGATGTGCGGATCGATCCTGAAATATCGATACTTCCGATTCTGGATCTTTATGCTCTGAAATCGATTCTGAAATCAAAATATCGATACTTTTCGATACATTCTGAGATGAGGTGTATCCTAAACAGAAACATGGTGAAAAGTATCCAAATGATTGAGATGTCGTCTAAGTGACGCTCGGTTGGTGGGACTACTTCTTCTTCCGCCTGGGTGTATGCGTCATAAGCACAGGGGCTCTACTCCGTGCTCTCACTCAGTCACTATTGATGGGAATTTCGGCTCTTTTTTAGAGAACCGGTTCTTTTGACTCGGTTCACTGAAAAAATCCGACTTTTTCGGGTCCCAAATAGCTCCTCAGATTATTTATTTTATTTTTTATTTTTTGTTTTGTTTTACAAATAACATGTTTTCAGAGTTTGAAACATTGTTTTGACATATTTTATATGATTGTGTTCTCAGGTTTTTCTATTGTTGTGTTGACTCTATAGTAAATGAGGCAGCTACCTCAGTACACTCCAGAGTTTAAAATAAATAAATAAAAAACTCTGCCTTGGATTTTTAAAGAAGCTATGATTTGAAATACACATTTTTTTTATTTAAAAGACAAATGATAAAATATTGGTATCGACGATACCAGCCCGAATTTTACTCGGTATCGGATCGTAAAGGAAATTGGTGGTATCGAACATCACTACTACCTGTCTCTACACTGTTGCTGGGATTTTGTGCATGAAGTAAAACCATGGAGGCAGCCGTGTTGCCGGAAGTGTTGACATCATCAACGAGCAAACTCGATTGGTCGAGCACGATCACGTGTCGAACCGTGCCACCGCTCGCGCACTGAAATGTTATTGCGCCTTGAAGACGCTAGTTCTTTATAAAATGCATCGATATAAAAACGGGCAGGATATTTTGCGACGAACTTTTTGCTGTAACTCGTTCTTTTTGTGAAGTTGAATTCCATTTCTAAATGACTTTTTGTGGTTTTACTAGCTGAGAGGAGGTAATGTATTATTTTACTCGTCATTTTTAAACATTTATTTGGATTTTTTCGGACAATGCAAACCTTGTTTTATGCACGTATAAATGTTAGTTTTTAGGTTGTGAACATGCAGTTAATGTGTAAAGATAAATATTGTTAACGGGCTTTTTGCAAGTTGACATGTTTCCACGTGTTGGTCTACAGGGTTTTGTGTATGTTTTTCTGCTAACAGGAGCTTGAGACCTGTGTGCTGTGTGGAGGAGACTGCATGTTTACAGAGCCTTATGTGTTTTCTGTTGATTTGTACAGGTATGTGCATTGTTTATTGTGGTTCATTTGGCATGGTGTTCTCATGTGTTTACACAGGTTGCATTAGGCATGTAAATGAAATTCATGTTATCAAATACTCAATGTATTTGATAATGTATTTTCACCTTTTTATTTTAAAATATTTTTGTTATTAATACTAAAAAGTTCGTTACAGAGCCTTATGTGTTTTCTGTTGATTTGTACAGACAAATCCACCGTTCTACCTTCATTAAAAGAACAATCAACAGCTGGTCATGGTTCAAGTCCTTCTTTCATCCAGCGCAACACAGAACACAACGCAGGACTTACAAGGGTAAATTGACTTGCATCCAACTTTATATTAAACTGTTGAAGACAATGGATGCCTGTTACAATGGTGCCGTGACCCAGATAGTCATTCAATCCACGCAGAAGATCGAAGCTTTTAGTGAGTTGTTTTATGCTCCTGTTGTTGTCAATCACACTGTGCAGCTTAAAGGCCTGTTGGACTCTGGCTCTATGACATGTTGCATCAGTGAACATGCAGTAGAGAAACTCAGTTCTGCTGGTGTTTTGCCTGAGAAGCAGCATCCTGAAAGAAATATCATTTTGATGGGCTGTGGTGGTCTGCAGACTCAACCTGAGGGTTTTTATAACTTGGAGATGCAACTTTGCGGTGTTCGATGTGTCGTACCTACCTTAGTTCTGCCTGGTCAGCGTGATGATCTCATTTTGGGCTCAAATATCATCAAACACGTGATCCGTATTCTGAAGAGTGATAATGATTATCGGAACATGGCATTCAGACCTGAGCATCAGTCTGACCCCCATATTGAACATTTCTTGTTAATGTTCACCAACGTCGAGCGCTGGAGAGGAAGTGAGGTTCCTGATAAAATAGGCACCGTCACACAACACAAACACAATAGGAACCAAATCACCGTTCAGTGAATCGCAGGTAAAAAAAAAACAATTTTTTAAAAGATGAAAATAGTCGCTCACAACTGGAAAGCCTCATTGAACTTTGCTGTCCAGCTGTCGAGAGACAAAAGATCGGAACATGCCGGAGGTCTGCCACTTCATGTCATTAACCGAAATGACTGGAGACGACAAGAACGCGAACGTCAGTCATCGTTAAAGCTACGGTTTGGAACAATTTATAATATAAAATAAAATAATTCATACGTGTGTACACAGGTGTCCACCTACCTTGATGGTCTCCAGTCCTGCATCGATGATGATGCACTGCTTGGGTCTCATAGTTTTGGCTTCACCTCCTCCCTGCACCAGTTCAAACATTAAACATAATTTCCTCAAAGGAACAACATTTAAAAAGATAATCATTTCAACAATACATTATGGTATTATTCGGTACAAGCGTTAAGTTTGTTTGAGTGCTGCGTTGGGTTTGCGTATGGCCAAACTACCTCCAATGAACAGCCCGTGTTTGTCACCTTTATATTTGAGAGTCCTTTGGCTGCTGAGAGGAGTTGGGCTCCCTGAAGGAAAAGATGGAAAGAAGAGAGGGGAATGAATTACACTGAACGGTTGTAAATCGCTGAACGTATCCTACGTAGCCTTTTCTTTTGTTCAGCCAGCAGATGGTAGCAGAGCGTTATACAAACAAAACCAACCGAGTGTTTTGAATCCTCTTTGAATCCTCGCGGTAAGAGTACTTTGGTACAAAATGTAGCCACAGATAGTGTCAGAGCCAGGAGAATGAGGATTGATGATGTCAACAATGACCGGTCAAAATTGTGGTTCTATTAAAGCAGGTCTTTTAAAGAAACACTCATGAAATAACTAAGAGAAGCATTTCAATTAAAGGTATTAGCAGGGTTAGCTTGACGTAGCCTTCGTGAAGACTGTCTTCTATCTATGCTACAAGCAAGTACGCAGCTAATTACACAGGGTTCTAAATGTCTTTGATGATGTGTATTTTCTTACATGAAATCGAGGAGAAGGAGGATAACTGCCCTGACACTGACAGTGAAGACTAACATTTCTTATTTCTTATGTGTAGCCTCAGAGTTGTATTGCAGTGGTCATTGTCTTTGATGATGTGTATTTTCTTACAGCCAGTAAGAATCCTAAATATATCCTTTATCTATTCTGCAAAAAGTATTGTTGACTTTAAATAACAATGTACTGTACATACAGTATCTGTGTTTATATGTGTAAAAAATAAAAATATGTGTGTATTAAATACTATCTATAAATATATATTTATACATGTGTACGTATATATTTATTTGTTTATGTACAGTATACACACTCACAATATAAATATGAATATATTTCTTAAATATATAAACATGGGGTTGGTTATATATTTCTTATACATACATATACACACACACACATCTATATATATACTGTATATACATATATACGTACATACATATATACGTATACTGTATATATATATATATATATATATATATATATATATATATATATATATATATATATATATATATATATATATATATATATATATATATATATATATATATATATATATATATATATATATATATATATACAGTATACGTATATATGTATGTACGTATATATGTATATACAGTATATATATAGATGTGTGTGTGTGTATATGTATGTATAAGAAATATATAACCAACCCCATGTTTATATATTTAAGAAATATATTCATATTTATATTGTGAGTGTGTATACTGTACATAAACAAATAAATATATACGTACACATGTATAAATATATATTTATAGATAGTATTTAATACACACATATTTTTATTTTTTACACATATAAACACAGATACTGTATGTACAGTACATTGTTATTTAAAGTCAACAATACTTTTTGCAGAATAGATAAAGGATATATTTAGGATTCTTACTGGCTGTAAGAAAATACACATCATCAAAGACAATGACCACTGCAATACAACTCTGAGGCTACACATAAGAAATAAGAAATGTTAGTCTTCACTGTCAGTGTCAGGGCAGTTATCCTCCTTCTCCTCGATTTCATGTAAGAAAATACACATCATCAAAGACATTTAGTTGAAACATGAAAGTTAATGTGGTTTTTAGATGGTATAATTTTGCTGTCAAATGCTGTGTCTATTTATTCATGTTCTGTTACAAAAGCAAACCTTTAGTGTGTGACATCAATTCTTTCCCATGCTAACCTTTAACTGTGTTAGGGCCGAGATTAATGTTGTCACGGCAAAGGTTCAAGCTGCGTTCTTATTTAATTTTAATTTTCACATTATTTTTCTATACATTATTCGTTGCTATTCAGCTAAGCTAAGGCTAACTTTTGTCTATTTCTGGTTACGTGTAATGAATATATTCTTCTATATCGAGATGGTACGGAGCCCCTAAGGGGACATGGGGGGAAAAATGAAACGTATCTCGTGAGCATGGATACCTTCTCGTGAGCACGAGAAACCTTAGGTTAAGCACGGGCAGTTGTGCTTCCTGTGTGTATGCCCCTGGGCTCTTTCTTCCCTGAAGTATTATCCATTATTATTATTCTATATTTCGTGATAAGTTTCACGTTACAGTGGTCCATCTCTTTATCGCTGTTCTACTACGCTTTCTCAGTATATCTGAAGGCATTTGGTGAGGCAAAACAGTCACAGTTACTTGACTTACCATGGTCTTTTCCATTTTCAGGGCCTGCTGGCAGGGTTTAGGAATCGAGGTGCCAGGGAGCATGGCTTCGAAGTCTGATGGGCCAGGCGAGTGCTGCCGGGACAAAGCATCAGCATTTCTGTTGCTTCTACCAGACCGATATTTCAGCTCGGAGTCAAATGAGGCCCAGCGCTGTTCTTCCGCACCCAACTTTGCAGGACAAGTGACTGAGTGGATTATTGTCCATGTAAACGATGCAGAATGGCCCAACAGATACTCCCTGAATTTCTCACTCATCGCCCACTTAAGGGCCAGGAACTCCAACTTCATGGAACTACAGTTCGACATATTACGCTCTGTGGGCCTCAGTCCTTGGCTAGCATTAGCTATGGGTCTCACCTTGCCTTCTTGCTCCTGTGAGAGCACTGCTCACAGTCCACCATGACTGGCATCGACCTCGAGGATGAAGGGCAGAGAGAAGTCTGCGTAGGTGAGCACTGGGACAGTGGTGAGCTTGGTCTTCAGAGCTTCAAAACTCTCGCGGCACTCCTCTGTCCAGTTCTCAATGGCATCCTGGGTGGACTTTCGCTTGGGCCTGGTGCTTCCTAGCTCAGCTACCAGTCAATGAAGGGGAGCTACCAGCTTTGCAAAGCCCTCCACAAAGCGGCGGTAATAGCTTGCAAAGCCCAGGAAGGACCAGAGCAAAGATCAGAGACTGTCTTAGGAGGCTGCCATTTTGCCACGGCCTCTATCTTGGATGGATCTGTGACTACAGTCACCGCGTCCCGGACCACTGGAGGCGCAACTGCCGCCACCTCCCGAAACACTGGGGGTGTGGCCACCGTTGCCTCCGGAACGCCTCCGGAACGCCGGAACGCCTGGAGGGATGTCCATCGTCGACGACTCATGAACCTCTGGAGGAGTCATCGCTGCTGCTGCCACCTCCCGAACCAATGGAGGCGTAACCGCTGCCACCTCACGAGCCACCGGAGCTGTGACCACCGGAGGTGTGACCACTGTTGCCTCCAGAACCACCGGAGTTGTGGCCACCGACACCTCCGGTACCACTGGGGAGGTGAGAGCCTCAGGAAGTGAGCCCCGTCACCTCTGAAGATCCCGAAATTACCAGAGGTTTGGGTGCCGCTGGCACTCGGCCCACCAGAGGCACAGACCGAGCAGGAATCATCAGATGCTACGGACCCAGGAAGCACTGACCCTTGTGGGATCATTCTGTCACGAGGGGGCATCGACATGGCAGGAAGCAGGCAGGACCCAAATGCAGTACTGGTGCAGGTAGTTTATTTCAAGATTCTAAATTCCAAAAACCAGGACAGAAGCATATGCAAAGTCGAGCAGAGCTGAGAACACGACCAGAGTTGAGCACAGCAACAGACTAGGAACAGCTACAACAAAAAGCTTGACAGAACGCCGGCACAAACGATACAGCGCTCACAAAGACAGCGCACACACAGACAGTCACTTACTTACACACTGAATCAGTGAGTGAGGGAGAGAGGTATACTGTATATACAGGGAGTACCAGGTGACATAGGTGAGGCTAGTTGCAGACACAGGTGAGTGTGATAACAGATTACCCCACACAGCAGACAGCAGGAACAGACAGACCTGACACATGAAGGACTCCCAGATTATGAGAAATAGGATTCTCTAGTCTGATGAGACGAAGATTGAACTTTTTGGCATTAATCCTAAGCGGTATGTGTGGAGAAAACCAGGCACTGCTCATCACCTGCCCAATACAATCCCAACAGTGAAACATGGTGGTGGCAGCATCATGCTATGGGGTGTTTTTCAGCTGCAGGGACAGGATGACTGGTTGCAATTGAAGGAAAGATGAATGTGGCCAAGTACAAAGATATCCTGGAAGAAAACCTCTTCCAGAGTGCTCAGGACCTCAGACTGGGCCGAAGGTTCACCTTCCAACAAGACAATGACCCTAAGCACACAGCTAAAATAACGAAGGAGTAGCTTTGGAACAAGAAATAAAAACACACCACAATGTGAAGATGAATGAGAGCAAAAAAGACCCGAGCTCTGTCACGTGACAAATGAAACGAATCTGCGAGAACGAGGCGAAATATTAGTTCACAGAGAATGATCCGTTCATAGTGATTAGTTCACAGCGAAAGATTAGTTCACAGCAAAAGATTAGTTCACGCCGAAAGATTAGTTGACAGTGAAAGATTAGTTCACAGAGAATGATTCGTTCGTAGTGAAAGATTAGTTAGCAGAGAGTGATTAGTTCGCAGTGAGTGATTTGTGAGTGATTCGTGAGTTCAATATGAACAAATATTTAATATGACTCGGTAGTCACGAGTCACGAATCATTCATATGACTCGGGAGTCACGAGTCATATGAAAGATTCTTCCATTTTGAACGAATCACTCGCGAACGACACATCACTAGGCAGGATATTTTGCAGGATATTATACGTAACTCGTTCTTTTTGTGAAGTTGAATTCAATTTCTAAAGGACTTTTCGTGGTTTTACTAGCTGAGAGGAGGTAATGTATTATTTTGCTCGTTATTTTTAAACATTTGTTTGGATTTTTTCGGACAATGCAAACCTTGTTTTATGCACGTATAAATGTTAGTTTTTAGGTTGTGTACATGCAGCTAATGTGTCAAATGGGTTAAAGATAAATATTGTTAATTGACTTTTTGCAAGTTGTCATGTTTCCACGTGTTGGTCTACAGGGTTTTGTGTATGTTTTTCTGCTAACAGGATCTTGAGACCTGTGTGCTGTGTGGAGGAGACTGCATGTTACAGAGCCTTATGTGTTTTCTGTTGATTTGTACAGGTATGTGCATTGTTTATTGTGGTTCATTTGGCATGGTGTTCTCATGTGTTTACACAGGTTGCAATAGGCATCTAAATGAAATTCATGTTATCAAATACTCAATGTATTTGATAATGTATTTTCACCTTTTTATTTTAAAATATTTTTATTAATACTAAAAAGTTCGTTACAGAGCCTTATGTGTTTTCTGTTGATTTGTACAGACAAATCCACCGTTCTACCTTCATTAAAAGAACAATCAACAGCTGGTCATGGTTCAAGTCCTTCTTTCATCCAGCGCAACACAGAACACAACGCAGGACTTACAAGGGTAAATTGACTTGCATCCAACTTTATATTAAACTGTTGAAGACAATGGATGCCTGTTACAATGGTGCCGTGACCCAGATAGTCATTCAATCCACGCAGAAGATCGAAGCTTTTAGTGAGTTGTTTTATGCTCCTGTTGTTGTCAATCACACTGTGCAGCTTAAAGGCCTGTTGGACTCTGGCTCTATGACATGTTGCATCAGTGAACATGCAGTAGAGAAACTCAGTTCTGCTGGTGTTTTGCCTGAGAAGCAGCATCCTGAAAGAAATATCATTTTGATGGGCTGTGGTGGTCTGCAGACTCAACCTGAGGGTTTTTATAACTTGGAGATGCAACTTTGCGGTGTTCGATGTGTCGTACCTACCTTAGTTCTGCCTGGTCAGCGTGATGATCTCATTTTGGGCTCAAATATCATCAAACACGTGATCCGTATTCTGAAGAGTGATAATGACTATCGGAACATGGCATTCAGACCTGAGCATCAGACTGACCCCCATATTGAACATTTCTTGTTAATGTTCACCAACGTCGAGCGCTGGAGAGGAAGTGAGGTTCCTGATAAAATAGGCACCGTCACACAACACAAACACAATAGGAACCAAATCACCGTTCAGTGAATCGCAGGTAAAAAAAAAACAATTTTTTAAAAGATGAAAATAGTCGCTCACAACTGGAAAGCCTCATTGAACTTTGCTGTCCAGCTGTCGAGAGACAAAAGATCGGAACATGCCGGAGGTCTGCCACTTCATGTCATTAACCGAAATGACTGGAGACGACAAGAACGCGAACGTCAGTCATCGTTAAAGCTACGGTTTGGAACAATTTATAATATAAAATAAAATAATTCATACGTGTGTACACAGGTGTCCACCTACCTTGATGGTCTCCAGTCCTGCATCGATGATGATGCACTGCTTGGGTCTCATAGTTTTGGCTTCACCTCCTCCCTGCACCAGTTCAAACATTAAACATAATTTCCTCAAAGGAACAACATTTAAAAAGATAATCATTTCAACAATACATTATGGTATTATTCGGTACAAGCGTTAAGTTTGTTTGAGTGCTGCGTTGGGTTTGCGTATGGCCAAACTACCTCCAATGAACAGCCCGTGTTTGTCACCTTTATATTTGAGAGTCCTTTGGCTGCTGAGAGGAGTTGGGCTCCCTGAAGGAAAAGATGGAAAGAAGAGAGGGGAATGAATTACACTGAACGGTTGTAAATCGCTTTCTGAAAAAAAGTTTTCTCTTTTTCAGCCAGCAGATGGTAGCAGAGCGTTATACAAACAAAACCAACCGAGTGTTTTGAATCCTCTTTGAATCCTCGCGGTAAGAGTACTTTGGTACAAAATGTAGCCACAGATAGTGTCA